TCAGTCAGAAGTCCTGCAAGTGTTTTGATACTTTAGAATAGCCAAAATGTATAAAATGGAAGGTTAGAAAGGCAATAAAAAATAAAATAAAATAAAAAAATCAATCTGTCTAGGCAGAAGTGTTAAAGCTAGGATGGTGCCAAAGTCATTAAGGTTCATCCTCTGGGGAACACAAATGGCAATATACCATTTCCTGGGAATTTCATTCATTCATAGTACTAGCATGAATAAAAATAAATGACCGTATAGTCTGAGTTTGGTTTTGAGCTGTATTGGAAATATACACTTGTAGCTGTGATGAGTCCCTGTTGCTGTATTTGTCAAAGTCTGTGTTGCGTTACTGTTTTTACTGTTTCAATTACAGACGACAGCTGCTTTGCTCACTTTTAAACATCAGCTGTTCTTATACACAAATTTTTAGGCCAGCAAATTTGCACGTCTATTTCACTGCTTACAAGGACCAACATCACATTGCTGTCATCAGATGTGTTCTATATAAAAACAGCTATTATTCCATCTTGGAGTGTGGCTAAAAGGAGTTTGAATACGGTGTTATTTTGCGGTCGTAAGTGCAATAATAACCGTCCTGGACTAATAACAGGTTAGAGGAACACTTCTTAAGCCTGCTCCTCCCATCACATGATCACAAACCTGCCAACACACCTCGTGTACCCACGATGAACTGTAACAATAGCAGAACGTGCAGTACTCTTCACCTCTTTGACACCAGCCAAGCCTTTCCTACACCCTGTTTGCTTTTTACAAACATAATTCACACACCCTTTAGCAAAATAGTGTGTCCTACAGGGATGCTGTGTGTGGACTCGGTGGAGCGGTCATGCAGGTGGAGGCTGTCTGGACTGACATTGGAAGGGTGTGTGGTTAACAAGACTGTGCCTGCTGCAAGTCCTGTTATGCCAGTAAAGCTGACAATCAGTGTCAATAATCCAGAGAATTAGAGAAGTTATTACCAAGGTTTATTTGTGTTTGAATCGAGTGCTTTGCAAGATCAGGACTTAAGGTCTGGCTTACATTTTTAAATTTCCTTAAATAAAATGAAAACAGAAAGACGCTCACACACCCTCACACGCACCAAAAGTTGTTTCTCCTCTCCATCATTTCTTGAAAAAAATAAAACAGAATGAATGCAATTTTAGTGACAGCACAATTGACTGAATTTAATGCTCAAATCAAGTGGTGATCCTTCAATTTGCAGACTGCTTAGTTGCAGATCAAGTTGTGCACTCCACTTGCAGTACAGACAGCAGGAACAACAAATGTTTTAAATTGCATGTTAGCACCGTTTTAGTATTGACCACAATAAATAAGAACCTATCAACTTTATTAGCACTGATCTCAAAAACCACGATTCTTGACCGTTTGCTGGGTGTGAGACCAGATCCTAATGGGTTGTGAATGCACGCCAAAAATGTCAACCACACCTTCGACCTTGCACAACTTCCCTATTCTTCTGCTGCACACACTCCCAGCAAACACGCCCAAACGATCCTCACCCTTCTGTCCCTCACTCTGTGTTCTGCAGCCAGCCTAACTTAATTGATGCCCTGCCAGCCTAAATTACACAGCCGGCCTTCGAGGGCAAAGAGATAGAGGTTGTCAACAAGTGTGGCTTGAGTGAAGCCCTGGCTCCTCACCCACAGTGACAATTTACTTGACTCAGCATCACGCAGGCGATGTTTACTGGACCTGTCCACCACAATCAACACTGCTGCGTACGGGCTGACTGTAACTCCACTGTAAACCTCATCACTGCTGAGAGAAACGGAGAACTGGGGGAGGGGGGAGCAGAGAAGAAGGGAAGCTTATCCCCCAAGCTTTGTCCTTCCTCCTCCACATCAGAGCGGATTCAGTCATACAAGCAAGGCAACAAATTAGGCTGCACACATGCACAGACATGCACGCCACAAGCATCCACATAAATTACCCAGATGAAAATGTTAAATTGAAAGCAGCGTAATTTTTAGCACTTGATGTACAGCAAATCAAATTAAAATTCAATATTCGATTACAGACGAAGGAAAAAGTGCTTTCTTGGTAACACTGTCTTGTACTATCTGTTTGTTTAGTACTGAAGTCTCAGTGGTTGGTCATAAAATCTGTCTTTGCAAAGGTGTAAGAGGTGTTAAAGAGGTGAAAATTCAGCTGGATCTTTGCCCATATGTTTGGAAACATAGATATTAGAAGTTACAGCATTACAGCTGAGTTACAAACACAATTAAAGCTGCAAGCAGCGTTGAGAGGGCCCTCGCACCCTGGCGTGTCGAGCCACGCCCAACACCTACACCCAGCAAATCTGATCTGATGTCACACTGATGCTTAAGCACATGTAGGTAGCTAACTGTGTCTTTCCCTTTACACGAATAGATTATCTTTGATTTCTCTGAAATCAAGTAACATTGGAGTGACTTTGACTCATATTTGGGTATAAAATGAGGGATATAATATTAAATAGAGAGATATGTAAGTGTCATTTTTATTTTAGTACTTTTACTGAGATATAATATCTGTATAAATATTTATATGTAATCCACATACCTTTGAGATGTGGTCTCCACTGAAGCCTCTTCTGAAGCTTGTCCTGAAACCTAAAAGTTATTTATTGTGTTAGATGTTTTTTTTGTTTTTGTTTTTTTCCTAAGGAGTTTGCATTTTAATAACTCTAGTAGCAATTTAATGATGAGCCGATAAATATGATTTTGGACCTCTAATCAATCTGTAACTTTTATTAGGTGTTAGGATGTGTTGTGTGCTCAGTCAGTAGTACCCTTATCCTCTTTGCCGTATGAAAAACTGAGTTCCTCTAAACCAGCTATGGTAAGTTTATCCACATTGAGGGAAGTCCCCACCAAAGACTCCAAGGTCTTCCAATGTTTTGGTTTCAGACATGGGTAATGAAGATCAGCGATCACAGGCAGCTAAAGAAAGAACACATAAATACCACTTGAGCAGTCACAAAAATAATGAATTACTTTCAGCCCATATTGTAATATGGTATCATTTTAAAAAGAGACTGCTGACAACATTATCTACTGTATGCCACAAAAAATATCAGATATTTCATAACACTTTTTTCTACCCACTCTGTGCATCATCACGTTCACCTTGTTCTTCAGACAGGGAACTATATTGTTACGTGGCAGGCCCTTCTCAAGCTGGTTGAAATACTTGCTGCATTTGTTGACTTGTGCACTAAACTGCTCCATGTCCAGTTGTTGAAGTGTGCTCTAGCGATGGGTAAAATGAAAAGTACATTTTCATTTAGTTTATAGTATGGATATACTTGCTATACAGTGGAGGAAATAATAATTTAATTCCCTTTTGAATTTGTAAATTGGCTCACTTACAAAGAGATGAACAGTCTCTTGTTTTCATGGTAGTTTCATTTTAATGGAGAGAGACAGAATATCATCCAAATATCCATGAAATTTTTTTTCTTGTAATTGGTCAACAGGTTTGCACACAGGAGAGATTTTGGCTCACTTCTCTTTACAGAAACTCTCTAATCCTCTAGAGATTTAGAGGTTTCTTGACTGTTGTATGAGAACTAAAAGTTTCAGGTCCTTCCATAGAGTTTCTATTGGGATTAAGGTCTGGAGGCTGGATAGGCCACTCAGTAGCCTTAATGTGCTTCCTATTTAGCCACTCCATTGTTGCCTTGGCGGTATGTTTTGGGTCATTGTCATGGTGGATGATCCATCCACAGTGTTGTTCAGTGTTATGGCTGAGGGAAAGAGATTCCAGAGATTTTGTGTAAATGCCCCTGTCCTTGGCATCTCAATGCGGTGATGTCATCCTGTCTTTACAGAAAAACAGCCCAAAGCTTAATGTTTCTCCCTGGGGTTGGTGTTCTTTGCGTCATACTCAGAATTTCACTTCCTCCAAACATGGCAGGTTGAGTTAATGCCCGTGCTTGATGTTGCTTTTATCTGACCACAACAATTTCTTCCAGGTCTTATCTGAATTATTTAGATGTTCAGAGACATGCTTAAGACCTTCTTGATCAGGGGGACGTGCAAGATTTCAATCTGTTATGGTGTAGTGTGTTACCAGTGCTGTTCTTGGTGACGGTAGTCCCATCTGCCTTCAGATCATTAGTAAACTCCTCCCATGTAGTTTTGGGATAATAGCTTTCTCATGATTATCATCACTCCATGAGGCAAGAGCTCTCATGGAGCTCCACACATGGTCATTTGATATTTCTTCCATCTTCTCACCAAGCTTCTTCCAGTCTTGTGCAGGTCTACAGTCTTTTCCCTGATCTCCCTTGATAGCTGCAGTGGTGGTGGAGAGGTTTGAATGGAAGACATTGATTCTGTGGACAGGTGGGCTTTATGCACATTACGAGTTGAGATTAGGAGTATCTGTGATTGATTGCAATCTTAGTGCACACAGTCAATCAATAGAAACCAGTAGTTTGGCTGGGTGTAGGGGATCAAATATTTATTTCACCAAATGGCATGCAAATCAAATTGCAGTTCTCTTTTGTATCACTTTTTTTTTTAGCACACATTGAAACTTTTATGGCTTGATCTAGTTTCTATGAAATATGTTTACATTGAAAGAATTAGAGTACTTTGAATTTCTTCTGGTAGGATGTGCAGGAGGAAGCTTTGGCCTGTGGCTTTTCTATGGAAATCTGGATCTCCCCCAACAGCAGATGCACTTGTGATGAATCAGCACTGATGTCTAGAATTTGTGGATCCTGCACATTAAAATGCACGAGCTTTTAATTATACCAAATATAGTTGAATTAGGCTTTAGTTAAAATTACTAAATAGAAATAGAACAACAAAATTAAAAATAAAACAATCATCTTCTCATACCTGCAATTTAAACTGGATTTCCATGTTCTCCTGTTTGAGTTCCTTTATATCCTTCTTCAGGTAGCTGCAAAACCTTTTCATAGTAGCATCCCATTCTTCCGCTTCCTTTCACATGATATCATCTAACAAGTCATCACAGAGTTTAAGCATGGCAAGAATTTCTGGTGGTGTGGGGACTGAGTGCACGTTGATCAGATCGTACATTTTGCAAACTGATTTCAGCTCTTTGTTAGCAAAACGAGAAATGGAAATATGGAGTTGAGTAAATCAGAAAAAGAAAGCTGAGGAAAAAGAAAACAAGCTGCTGTGTTTTGTTGGTTTATCACATTTAATTGTTAAACAGGAACATCTCACCGTCTCCTCAATCTCATCCAGAAATGTGAGAAAGTCAACCAGCTGAGCTGTAGTAGAGGGACTGATCTGTCCTTCAACTTTGGCCTCACGAACGTCAGTGATTATGGCCTCAGCTTTCCTCTTAGCGAGTTGGGTGAGCGTGTGACTGATGACCTTAAATCACATTTTATGGTCAAAAACTTTCCAAATTTCCAAAAACAATCCACAGTAAAATGTAGGAAAAAACCAACAAAAAACAAAACAATAATGACAAAAAATGTAAATTTCAATGGAATAAGTAATAAGTTAATAAGCACTGCATCCAAATCCAAACTTTCATTCTCCTTATAGATTCTCAGAAAGTGCTCAAACATGTGTGAGTACACATTCGCAGCAGCAAATACAATCTGGAATGGTTTTTGAAGGAGAAAAATACATCAGGGCAATTCAAAGCTGTCAGGCATCTAAGGAAAACAATGCAGTAAAACCACCTGGATGCTTTGCTTGATACTTTGCAGGTAGACGTCATTTTTTAGGTTGACTTTCAAAGAGGGTGCGTTTTCATATTTATTGCCTATTTATATATGCCTTCCAGACACATATAAAAACATACAAATATACAAATAAAATCCCATGTTAATTTCAAATTAAAATTCAACATAACCAGAATAGCTCAATCATATCCAAAAATCTGACAATTTTTCAATGCATCTGAAAATAGAAATACAAAACACAATTTTTTTATAGTGACTCCATGGCCAAAGTTATCTTTTTGGCACAAACATTTTTGTGCCAGACATCGAAGGGTTTCCATAGTCTGTAGCGTGCAAAGAAGGGGATGCATAGCAGCTTGCACTGGATATTTTCCCACTGCTTCACAGTTAGAAATACTGCATCATCATCATCATCATCATCATCACACTGCAAAATCACAGCTTGACTGTCGAGGTCAGTACTGATGTACTCGTGAAGTTGACATTTGAAGGTAGGGTCCCGCTGTATGGGAAACAGCCATCTGGGGAGAGGAGGGGTTGACATCACATCCTTTAAGGGCTGAGAAAGGAAGGGAGAAGGTACGTGTTCCAGTTATAGTGGCAATTATGACAGAAATTTGCTTTAGACATACTTGGAACTACCTTATCACTGTAGACTATATATATTGTTTACTGATTGACTACAGCACTATATTGTTTTTTATTGTAAAATATGCTACCATGATCACAAAATTTCAAAGATCTGGTTACAAATTCCTCAAATTCTTTCTAGCAGCCTCTTTTTTTCAAAGTATGACACACTAGTTACTTTAAATAACTTAAGACTAGAGTACTTTTTGCACTGTGTATGCAATGCTTGCGACAAAAGACAAGGCCTGGAGCACACAATTTTGTAATGGCAAGCTTTTCTAAAATCATACCTCATCTCATACCTGTTGGTCACCGACATTTTTGGTGGATGGCAGAGGAGGTAGGTGGATAGCTTCATGGTGCCGTTGCTTCAGATCTTTGGTTTGAATGACTGCTCACAGGCTTTCAGGCTTTGGAGACTTGGTTTCTTTGGTTTTACAAGTCTCTTTGGCACTGCCTACATTAAAGGTAAGCATAGACCAAACTGGTTTTATTCAGCAAAGACAAACTTTTGAGAATATAAGAAGATCACTACATGCACTAGAACAAACAGCTAGGGACAAAATCAAGGCTATGGTTGTGGGATTAGATGCTGAGAAGGCTTTCGACTCAGTTAGATGGTGATTTCTTTACAAAGCACTGGAAAAATTTGGTTTCAAGCCCAATTTTATAATTTTAATAAAGACTCTGTACAACAAGACAAGGGCCTGCATAAAGATAAATGGGGATCTTTCGGATTCTTTCATCCTGGAGAGGGCTGCCCGATCTCTCCCTTCCTTCCTTTTTGCCCTATATTGAACATCTTGGTCAATTAATACGACAGTGTGAAGCTTTTAAAGGCATCACGATGGCGGGCGGGAAACAAAAAGTGGCAATGTTTGCAGATATAGCATGAAACTTAAATATATAAAATGAAACTTGCATATATAAAATGAAACTTGCATATATAAAATGAAACTTGCACATATATCTTCTTAATATACTTAGTGAAAATGAAATGTGTTTTTATCTCTTATCTTGGCCTTCCTCTTTGAGATGTAAGATGGTATAATGACCCATACCATGTGCTTCAGCTTCTGCTTGAAGTGTTCTCTCAGTTGACATCTCCATCAGTGATTGATAAATTCCCTCAAGAATTTTGCATAATCTCCTCCCAGAAACATTTTGTTGAACATTATTCATAAGCAATAGAAACGTTGCTGAATGAATATATGATCTTCAAATTGACGCAATGCAGAATCCAAATTATTTGTACCATTTGTAGTTTTAACAGCTATTGCAAAATAGTTGTCACAAAAAACAAAGCTCTACAAAGTACTGACATAGTTCATCTGATGAAATTTTGTAATATAAATAATATTTTCTTAAACGGCATTCCATAATTCATATATATGTATATGTATATATATATATA